TTCCTATACATAGAGCAGATAAAGATGTTCATCGGCTCTTTGCGGTTGTTCCGTATCATGTATGCAGGTATTATTATTATTATTATTCCTATACATAGAGCAGATAAAGATGTTCATCGGCTCTTTGCGGTTGTTCCGTATCATGTATGCAGGGAGAGGGAGTGGTAGAAATATTAGTAGGATATTGCACTTTGGCGTTAAACCATATTTTCTTAATTATAGTGAATTGAGGGTCTTAGATCTATACTTAGTGTGAACTTGACCAACCTTGCTGACATCACAATAGGCATATAAGATCTAGTCCTTCCAAAAACTGATCTCTGTATACTAGCCTAGTAGAGAATCTTTGGTCATGCTCTCCCGAAGGCACGTGGCGTGACATAATGGGAACATGAATAAAATAATACATTGCATATGAATAATGAATATAACATATAAAATCTAAGTGAGTCATTTGAGAAAATGTATAAACTATTTCGAATAGCTGTTGAACGCATAGATCTAGATCTAGAGCATGCCGAAAACATTGTGAATTTCATCTTTATTATTCATTGTCTCAATTAATCTAGGCCTAGTGCCATTAATATTGTGTCGTTCTTCAAGCGCCAGACGCAAACAGCGCCAATCTGGCATATCTAGTCCAGATTGCGCGGTGCGGTGTTTGCACGTGTTTCCGGATTAAAAGCGAAAGTAAAAGTAGGAATTTGCATTCGATCTACGTGAAAGTATGGTTTCTGGAGAGAGACATTATCTATTATCTGACTATTCTTAACTGTAAAGCTAATACAAATTAACAAGAATAATTGAAAGCTTAAGAATTTGTAATAATACTAGCAGTTAAATTAGAGTTAAGATTATATTTTACACCACGGTCATCAGGTGGCCGGTTAGCTCAGTTGGTTAGAGCGTCGTGCTAATAACGCGAATGTCATGGGTTCGAGCCCCATATTGGCCAGCGACTATTTTTTTGTTATTCATATAAAGCAATTAACATAGTTAATAATAATTTATGTTTATTTCAATTTTTATTTGTTTACTTAGATATATTTTAAAGAACTTCATTTACATTATTATTTTAAGTAAAACCAACGGATATGTTATACAATACTTGTAGATTATAACATTATAATACAATATTAGGCCTACCAAGTTGCACGATACAGAAGGGAAACATTAGAGAAGTACTGTGCACATAATTACCGCTATGCATGGAGTGATTGCTTTTCACTAATATTGACATGGAAATAACAGTCGACGTTCGTGCAAATTTAAAATAGCCTAATCATTTCTTGCCTAAGCTTCTAACCTTCAGATACTAGATCTAGCCTAGAAGTAAAGGTATGGCTCGTGAAAATTCATTTAAAATTAGAGGGGTTGTTTTTTCAGCCGCCTCTTCGAGAGCTGGCTGTTT